CAGAGGCTAGTCCAGCCTTTGCTCCAGTCTCGTCTCCTCAAAACAGGGAGGAGGCTGGTCTGCAGGGTGCCCTGGGCCATCCCCAGTTTGGCCTCTGCCTCAGGCCTCAGTTTCCCCATCTGCTAACTTGGATTAATGAATCCTGCTCTCTAGACCAAGAGGACGAAGCTCTGGGCGGGGAGGGGGGGGGGGGGGGTCACGGACGAGGAAGGGCCCCGTGCTGGGCGCAGCCTGCGCAGGGGCCTCCCGCGTTTGGTGCCCCTAGGCCCTGCGGCTCGGCTCCCCCTCCTCTCCTCGGCGCGCCCTCCCTCTCCCCCTCCTCCCTCTCCCCCTCCCCGCCTCTCCCCTGCCTCTCCTCCCGCCGGTCAGCTCGCTGCTCTCAAGCCGTCCTCTTTGCCTCGCGCCTCCTGCCCCGCGCCCACCCCGGGGTGCCCGCCTCGGCTCCGGAGGACCGGCCGAGCCCCCGCCGCCCCCGCCAGGCCGGGCCGCCGCAGCGCGGGCGGGCAGTGCGCAGCCCCGGCGCCCGAGCGCGGAGCTGGATCGCTGGCTCGGAGCGAACCGGGCGGACCGCCGCCCGCAGCCAGGTGAGGGCGGCTCGGCGGCGGGGGGAGCTGAGGGTTCTGGTTTATCGGGAGCGGGGGCGGGGGATGGCGCGGGGGCTTCGGGTCCTTTTTCCCTGAAAGGAGGACCTGGGAGCTTTTTTTCATGAAACACGCTCCAGGGCTTTTACTCCGGAGGGATGGATGAAGGAAGGTCTGGGGAGAGAGGGTTTGGGGTAGCCCTTTCTGAGGGATTCTTTTTTCCATGAGAAAGGATTAATTGGCTTCTTCTGTCAAAGGGGGATTTATCTTCTTGGGAGCGTGAGGGGCTTTCAAGGTAGGTGGGGACGGGGGTTCTGGCGGGGCTTGAGGGAGGGGGGAATCGGGGAGGGGGCTTGTCGGGGAGGGGGCATCTGAGATGCCCTTAGCCTGACATCGCTGCACCTCCCCCGTCGGTTCCGGGGCTCTGGGTCAGCCCAGCTCTCTCTATCCCAGTTTTTTCTCTTTGAAGATGACTATTTTGAGCCCCACTTGGACAGAGCCAGGAACAGCCATTTCCTTCCCTGGAACTCTGATGCCCACCTGACACCCTGCCACCTCTGCCCTGCTCAGGGAGGGGTTTCGGGAGGGATGGGGACCTAGGGATCTAGAAAATGGGCAGTGGTTGGTGAAACGGAGGCTGGGTACGGACACAGAGGAGGACCCTCTGAGACTAGCAGGGTGCACAACGGGGCAGGGGGATTGCTGGGGTAGGGTGCTCCTGGGGCAGGACCTGCTAGGAATGCAGTGGGTGAGGAAGAGATGAGACATCCCCATACTCTCAGAAGGCAAAATGCTCGAGTTTTTGTTTGGTTTTGCTTGCTTTCTCCTTCGCCCTGGATCCTAAGAGTCATTCCACTTGTCTCCTCTATTTTTGCAAAAAGGGAAACTGAGGCAGAGAACATGTTGGCTGGAAATATCTATGTCTAGGAGGAAAAAGTGGTGGAGAGGAAGGCACGCTGAATTTGGAGCCCAAAGACCTTGTTTGAAGGCTTGCCTTAGTGCTCCATGGGTGACCTTGGGCCCAAAGGCTCCCCTTGTTGGGCCTTGGCTTTCTCATCTATGCAATGGGAGAGGGCCCACCAGTCTCTCAGGTTTGCTATGAGAACAGATGTGTCCAGGGTTCTGTAAAAGGAATGCACTCAGTACTCCTGAGGTACACCTTCTCCACGGCAGACGGGCCCCCTTCCTCCCCACACCCTCACCAAGGGTATCGGCTAGTCCATGGGGCGCCTTTCTAAGAACTAGAAAAGGTACCGCCTCTGGAGGGAGAGAGTGTTCAGCTGGGCTAGGCACTTGGGTCTTTAGTATGAGAATTAGAAAAAGCCACACTTTTCCCCAGGTGTGGCAGCTCCACACAGCTGGGCAAGCAGAACATGGGCTAGATGCCAGGACCCACCTCCCCCAGGTGAACATCCTTGTTGTGTAGGTCACGTCTGCACAGCTGCACCTGGCAACACTTCCCAGCAGGCCCCAGTGTCTCTAAGAGACACAAAGCTACACACACTCCCTGTAGAAGCCCCCATCCTAGGCTGTTGCCAACTCATTTTCTTTTCCGCTTTGTCTGCACTTCAGGGCCTTTGGGTATTCAAGCCTTAAAGCCTATGCCCTACCAGGAAGCAGGAGTTCCCTAATCCCTTATGTCAAGAACTTGATCAGATCGTTCTTCTCAAGGCCAAGGGCAGAAGCATCTGCACACCTGGGCAGCAATGCCATTCATAAACCCTGTTCACACCTGTTAACTCAGAGCATCCTCACAGTAAACTTGAGAGGCAGGTCTCCTCTCCATGTACACAGAGGAAGCCATGCCCAGAGTAGCTAAGGAAATTGCCTAAGGTTTCACAGCATATAAGTGGTAAAGCCAAAACCCAAACTCAGGTCTGTTCTCTCCCCTTCCCCGCTACTGAGGAACAAAGCTGCTGACCTCATGGTTTAGCCAAAGCCCTGCTGGGGCTGTTGCCCTCCCTCTCTATCTCCAGCAGCCCCTGACTCCCTGCTTCCCCTCAAAGAGCAGCCCCCAAGCCCAGAGGAGGGAGTCACTTTCTCTTACTCTGATTTAAGGGGCAGGGGAGAGAGCTACCTTCAAGCCCAACTGTTCTGGCCTCTTTAGTGCAAGAAGGACCCCTGGGGAGTCCAGAGGTTCAGTGTGGGAGCTGACCCTTGAAGGGGTCAGAGGCCAGGAAAGGGGTCAGGGAGCAGCTATTTCCTTTCCTGCCCAGATGGAGGCTGAAACAGTGGCCATGATGGAGGGCATCAGAAAGAGCCAGCGCCTGAGTGAGAGGCAGGCCAAGGACCACAGAATAGCCACAGGAAAATGCAGCAACCCGGTGGCTGAAGGAAACTCAGAGACCCCCTGACCACTCCCTGTGTTCCCGGGGCCCCTGGGTGCCAAGGGAAAAGGGATGGGGTAAACCCAGCCCCTTCAATCAAAGCATTTCTGCTTGTGTCTGTGGTATAGGTGTGCGCACTTTCACTTAACAAACGGGTTCGATGCTTACCAAAAAAAAAAAAAAGAGTCATGGGCCTAATGTAATGGTTCCCAAAGTGTGATCCCTGGACTAGCAGCATCTGCGTTAAGGGGGAACTTGTTAGAAATGCAAATTCTCAGGCCTCATCCTAGTCCTAATCAATGGGGACTCTGGGGAGGAGGCCCAACGACATGTATTTTAACAAGCCCTCCCGGTGACGCTGGCCCGCTGAAGGCTGAGACCCACTGACCTAGTTCAGGTGTGTAGGAAACAGTGTCGGAATTGTGGCTCAAGGGCAGGGCTGTGAAGAGAACCCATCTCCCAGTCCGGGGCTCGGGGCATTTGGAGGCGGCCCTGCCCAACTCTCCTCTCCCCCCTTGCCGCCCCCCTCCCAGGCGCCATGCTGCCGCTCCTGCTGGCCCTGCTGGGCCCGGCCGCCTGCTGGGCCCTGGGCCCGGCCCCGGGCTCAGCGGAGCTGCGCTCAGCCTTCTCGGCCGCACGCACCACCCCGCTGGAGGGCACGGCGGAGATGGCGGTGACCTTCGACAAGGTGTACGTGAACATCGGGGGCGACTTCGACGCGGCCACCGGCCAGTTCCGCTGCCGCGTGCCCGGCGCCTACTTCTTCTCCTTCACGGCGGGCAAGGCGCCGCACAAGACCCTGTCGGTGATGCTCGTGCGCAACCGCGACGAGGTGCAGGCGCTGGCCTTCGACGAGCAGCGGCGGCCCGGCGCGCAGCGCGCCGCCAGCCAGAGCGCCATGCTGCAGCTCGACTACGGCGACACGGTGTGGCTGCGCCTGCACGGCGCCCCGCAGTACGCGCTCGGCGCGCCCGGCGCCACCTTCAGCGGCTACCTGGTGTACGCCGACGCCGACGCGCCTGCGCGCGGCACGCCCGCGCCCCCCGAGCCGCGCTCGGCCTTCTCGGTGGCGCGCACGCGCAGCCTGGTGGGCTCGGACGCGGGCCCCGGGCCTCGCCACCGGCCACTCGCCTTCGACACGGAGCTCGTCAACATCGGCGGCGACTTCGACGCGGCGGCCGGCGTGTTCCGCTGCCGCCTGCCGGGCGCCTACTTCTTCTCCTTCACGCTGGGCAAGCTGCCGCGCAAGACGCTGTCGGTGAAGCTGATGAAGAACCGGGACGAGGTGCAGGCCATGATTTACGACGACGGCGCGTCGCGGCGCCGCGAGATGCAGAGCCAGAGCGTGATGCTGGCGCTGCAGCGCGGCGACGCCGTCTGGCTGCTGAGCCACGACCACGACGGCTACGGCGCCTACAGCAACCACGGCAAGTACATCACCTTCTCCGGCTTCCTGGTGTACCCCGAGCTCGCCCTCGCCGGCGCGCCGGGCCTCGGGCCCCCCGAGCTCTGAGCCCCGGCCCGGGAGGAGCCGGGGCGTGCATGCTCAGCCAGGGCCGCGGCCCGAGCGCCCGCCGGCGCGGCTGCACCCTGCTAATAAAGTGGGCCTGCGGGGCGCCTCTGTGCCCGGGGGTCCTGCCCTGTGTCTTGACTGCGACGCTTTTGTCTGGGGGCGGCGCGGGAAGGCGCTGACTACTGCAGGCGCGGGGTCGGGGTCAGGGGTCAGAGGGCAGGATTCTATCAGGCCCTGGGAGGACCAGGAGGTGGGGATTTGTACCCTACTCTCCTAACCCATTGTGGGCCTCCCCTTCATGTCCCGTTCTAATCAGTCCCCTCTGTCTAACTCCTCCTCATTGACCTGCAACGTCACTCTTACGGTCTGGCTCATTCCTTTTTGTGACAACGAGCAACAACCTGCTACCTCTCTGGGGGCTTGGGGTTCAAGGAAACAGCACGTTCCTCTTCCACAGGGCGTGCGAATGGGATGAGCAGTTAACACCTGGTTGCCCGACTCCCGCCCTCCCAGGATAGGGAGGGTGATTTGCTCAGGGCAAGGGTTAAACAGCTTCCTCTGACACAGAAAGACACAGGCTCCAGGAGGCCAGAACAGAACATTTTATGGGACAGCTACACAGGAGCAGGGCTACGCCAGCCAGCCTCAGCTTGTCTCTCTCAATCTCCTCCCAGCCTCACTCCCTCCTCTGAGGTGTTCATCTGAGCCTGTTGAGATGGACCAAAAAAACATTTCCTCCACCTTCTTCCCTCCACTCCTCCAACAGATTGAACTAAAATCCATTTTGTTCTTCTAGCCCAAATGGGGAACTTGGAGGCTCGGGGACCCCAGAGCATTGGTTGGGCTTAAAAAGAGTATCTAAATTAGGACTGGGTGCTGAGCACTTAAAAGGTCCTGTAGAGTCCACAGGACCACTCATGGACTGCCACGTGGGGGAGTTGGAGGGTCTGACCTGGCCTTACTTGGGGGCAGCTTCCCTTTCAGCATCTCTTAAACACGCTTCTCAACTCTGACCCCAACACACACACACACACATACTGCCTGCAAGTCCTGCCTTTAGCTCTGTGCCTGCTGCCTGGGACCCAGAGTCTGGGTTCTTAGCCTGTCAGGGCCCAGGGAAGAAGATGGGAGAGAGGTAAGCTGGGATCCAGGGTACAAGCCATGCCCAGAGGCCTGAGCACAGTGGGATGAAGCAGGTGCCAGATGGAAGTCTCTGCCCAGGATGGGTCTGGCTGGGGGAGGGTCAGGGGAAGGGGTCAAGGATCAAGGCCCAGGGCCCCAGAGAAGGGGGCTGGCCCTGGGGGCAGAAGCCCTTGCACAGGTCCCAGAGTGTTTCCTGTGCCAGGAGGGCGAAGACCTGGGCCCAGCGACCCCTCTCCTCAGCCTCTCTAGCCTTGTGGAGCCGGTAGACACAGGACAGGCCTGTGAGGAGCAGATGTTCAAAGTCCCAAGGGCTAAGAGGAGGCCCCTTCCGCAGGTTCTGGAACTGCTGCAGCTGCTGCTTGGCACCTTCCACGTCACTGGGCACGTGGCGCTGCAGGAGGAACGTGAGTCGGCGGCCTGGACGTGTAGATGCCAGTTCCTCGTCCTGGATGTACAGCTGCCCCATGACATCCAGCTCCAGCCCAGCCCAGAGCAGCTGCAAGGGGAGCCATGTAAGGGGTGGGCTGGGGCCTAGGGGCAGGGCAGGGAGCTAGAGTGGGCCAGCGGGGCATAAGCAGGCAGTAGGACCCATGCTGGGTTGCCCCTCCTCCCCCAGCAGGTCCAGCTTGAGACATCCCCCTTCCCAACCCTGAGCTTAGGGACCTCTGAACACTCCCACCCCCATGTCCCAGGCTGGAGGAAAGACCTCAAACATCACTTCCGGGGCCTCTGGCTCCTGCAGGCCACCTCCCACGCTGGCGCTGTTCATGGGCTGCCCTGGGGCAGCAGAGAGGAGTCAGGCCGCTGCCAAGCTCCACCTTGAACACCTCGGCCTCCTAGAAGTGTCCCTCAGCTGCCTGGGAGGGGTGCCTAGAGATTGTTCTATCTACAAAAGAGCAGGAATGCCATCCCGTGCCCCCTCCCCCTACACACACGTGCACATTGACATTCACCCTCCCAAGCACAGGTCTTGTGATCCCAAAATCATCATCCCACACCCAGATACCACCTCGGCAAATGTCCAGCACTCCTCCTCGAACTTCTGCAGTTCCCTTGGCCAAGAGCTCCAGGCCAGTGGGTCACAAGACACTTCACTTCCCATTTCCCCTCCCTACAACCATCTGGGGACAGTGTGACCTAAAACAGTGCCAATGACCCTTCCCAAAAGGTCGAGGACCCCTTTGGGAAGAACCTACCCTTTGCTTGCTCCTCAGTAGTGATCATGTGCAAGGCAGAGGCCAGGCAAGGCAGGATGTCTGTTGCAGCTCCTTCATCCCCCACCCTGGGGTGCTGCCTAGCCCTTGGAATGCTTGTCCCAAACCCAGGGCGAGTCAAGGGGTCCTGCTTTGCACATCATCCAGAATAAGCCCAGGGCCCAACTCTGTCCAGGGCCAGCAGTGAGGGCACCTAGGGCTGTCTCCCTTTGCTTCACCTGGACCTTTCTGGTTCTGGGGGTGGGGCCCACACCATTACCCGCCTCTAGCACTGGTACCCACCATGCCCACAGTTCCTAGGCCCTGCTAGGCTCAGATAGAAGCAACTCTGACTGCTGTCAGCTGGGAGGCTTCCTTGGCTCCCATCCACCCCACCCTGAAGCCCCGGTACCTGCATAGTGCTGGGTTGTGGTCACCCCTGGGAGGAGGCAGATGGCTACCATTAGCCAAGCCAGGAATTGCATTGTCCCAGCCATGCCCCAACACGTCCTCTGAGTCTTACTCTCCCTACTGCTCTCTGCTGCCGTGTCCGCCTGCCACACACAGCTCCGACTTTTCACTGCAGGCTGCTCTCTGGCGTTCCCTGCTTTTGGTGTCAGTGTTCACTGCTGAACAGGGAGGGGCTGGCTTTGGCTTCCAGGGGCTCTTTCCATCCCATGGAAATGTGGAATCTTTGATTGTTGGCAGTAGGAGCCTCGCTCCCTGCTTGTCAGGCCCTCAGCCTGTTCCTGCCCAGATGGGTGGGATGTTTAGTTAATAAAAAAAAGGTGTTCGGTAGCAAATAGCTCTAGCCTGGCCCTCCCAAGAGGTAGGAAAGAGCCCAGGCAGTAATGCTACTTTACTATCTGTCCTCACTCACAAAACATCCTTCGCTGAGCCCAGCCCCTGACACCCAGTCCAGCCTAGTCCAGCCCAGCCCAGCCCAGCCTCCAGGGAGCCCCTCAGCAGCCAAGAGCATCAGCTGCAAAGCCTAGCCCTCCAAATGCAGGGCGGGCTGGCTGGGCGGCCCCACAGATAGGCAGAGGCCAGCGCTTCCACCTCCAGCACTCAGCCACCAGCTGAACAGACCCCCAACCAGCTTGGGTAAGGAGTCCTGTCCCCTGGAAGACAGATCTGCAGCTCCTGAGTGTCTCTTACCCTTGCCCTGGGACCTTTGCTTGCTTACAACATTCTCAGCTCAGGTCAGAGTCCAGGAAGATTCCCTTAGCTCAAGTGCAATGGGCTGTCAGGTTGCGGGAGCAGGATACAGGGTTCAAGACTCAAAAATGAGCTGTGTTGGGGCCAGCCCGGTGGTGTGGTAGTTAAGTTTGGCACGCTCTGCCTTGCTGGCCCAAGGTTTGCAGGTTCAGATCCTGGGTGCAGACCTATACCACTCATCAGCTATGCTGTGGTGGCGACCCACAGGTAAAATAGAGCAAGATTGGTACAGATCTTAACTCGGCAAGTCTTCCTCACCACACACACACACACAAAAAAGAGCTGTGGCTCTTTCTGTTGGCTCATGGAACCCTGTGCATGTTTGGAGGGATGAGGGTGGGTGGGGTGTTTCCCTGGTTCCACCCAGGCCCCTGGATCTGTCAGCTGCCACGAGACAGTCTGCTGTGATGAAGGGCTTTCTCTAGCAGTTGAGGCACCTCCAGATCTCAGGAGAGACCATGCCACACCCATCCTGAGCACTATGGACCATAAGAACTTTCAATTTCAGCTCCAGAATCCCTCTTAGAAGTACATCCAGGTCTGCAGGTCACCAAGTCTGCAACTGCACTGTTTAGTCCCATGAAAAGAGACTCCTGGTTGGTAGTCTGTCTAAGGGAGCAGGGAAAACCCCTACTTGCATCTCTCTCCTGAGTCAGCTTCACGTCTGCCCATGATATGCACACAGGAAGTGGTGAGTCTAAGTAGGATTTTATTTACATGGACACTCAATTATAGATAAGGCGCTACATTTCTAGGATCCACATGCCTTCCCTGGAGCTACTTGGTTTCAGGTTTCTTGTCTCCGGCTTCAAGTTTGAGACTCTCGGGGGGCTGGCGATAGGCAGGGAAAGCCTCCCACGGGCTGTTCAGGTCAAACTTGCGGAACTCTTGGGCCAGCTCCACCGGCTCAGCCACCACCCGCTTCACCTCATCGTCGTAGCGTAGCTGCAGAAGAAAAGGCACACTTCAGCACTGAGGAAGGCCCTATTAGGGCCACTAAGGAGTCCACTTTCCCACAGCCCTGGGTAACTTCTTGACTCCTGTCCCAGCCTGTCAATAAGTCTCCATCCACATCTGTGTGACCCATCAAGTCACTCCCAACCACAGTCCAAACTGGCCTCCACCTCATGCCCTGCTACCACCAGTCAAGCTGCCCTGCCCACCATCCCCACATCATGAGCTTTGAGCCCCTTTTCTAGCAGAACTGACTTTGCTCACTCATCCCCATGCTCTTATAAGGTCGTGGTAAGCATCTGCCCAGGACTTGGTAAGCAAGTCAGTGGCTGAAAAGAGTAAATCTAAACTGGCAAGCACTCAAGTTCAGGCCCTGTGGCCTTGGCATTATCACTGTCAAGATGCAAGGCAGTGAATTTGGCATGGCTTTTCTTGTTATTGGACGGTCAGCTGGATAAGGTAAGGACAAACAGGTGGTAGCAACAGGACCATGCTCAACACTAAGAAAACAGGAGCACTTGGGCACTGAAGAGAAGGGCTGGATGGCCACTACCTCAACATTCCCGAAAAGTTACTTTGCTACAAAGTCACGTGTGTATGTATACAATAGACCATCCTCCTGCTAACAACCAACTTGCAGCACGTGGGCAGTAAAGGAAAGCCCTGAGATTCTTTACAAGGCCCTTCTAGTCATGTCACTGGTTCTGCCTCGCGCCTTTCTCAAGGGCTCAACATTTAGTGTCTTCCCTGTCAGCTGCCTTCTCAGAGAGCCAGGGCAGGATAAAATGATACTCCACTTTCAGATCTTGGGGAGATGCTAAGTGTGTCCTCAAGGCTACCTTGGTCATTAAAATGACCACTACAATAATGCTTTATGTCAACTGGGCATTTACAGTACACCAGCCTTTACACATACATCATTTAGCTCAGCACAAATCTATTAGATAAGTACTATTATTGTTCTCATTTTGCAGATGAGAAAACTGTGTCCTGAAGAAATTAAGTAACTTGCCCTAGATTACAAAAGTGGAGCTGAGATTTGGATCCAGAGTCAATGCTCCTAAACCACCACAATCCACAGACCATATTTCCTGCCATGCCCAGGGTCCCCTAAGTTCCCTCCCAGTCCCCCCACCCCGCCCCGAGGCTGCCACCCCAGTTCCAAGGCTCCTACCTCAACGTAGCCAGACAGGGGGAAGTCTTTCCGGAAAGGGTGTCCCTCGAAGCCATAGTCTGTCAGGATCCTTCTTAGGTCAGGGTGGTTAGCAAAGAAAACTCCAAACATGTCCCAGATCTGGAAAAAAGAGGTCCTCAGGCGACCAGTCCATGATGGCCGACACTGGGTTGAGGGGCTGCACTGCATCCAGGGGTTTTAGTCACCTCCACGACTCTGGCCCAGAGGCACGGTCCACACGTCCCGTAACTCACCTCCCTCTCATACCAGTTGGCGGCCTTGTGCACAGAGACAGCGGACTCGATGGGCGTCAGCTCATCTGTGTAGGTCTTCACACGGATCCGGCAGTTGAAGCGCAGAGAGAGCAGGTTGTAAACAATCTAGGGAGAAGCGAGGGAGCTGGAGGACCAAGATGGCCACAGGCTGAGGGGTCTGGGGTGGGAGTCCCTGAGGGGGAGCATCAATGATGAGGATACAGGGTGAGTTAGGGTTCCACCCTGTGAACCTGCCTTCTGTCCCAAAGCTCAAAACTGCAAGATCCTCCTATACTTAACAACTACTTACAAAGGCCTAAGCCACGCTGCAGCTCAGCATGTCACATGCTTGTCTTTGTTCAGCCTACTCCCTTTGTCTGGGATGTCTCCTGACCCTCACCTCCCCCAGCCCCAATCCTCACAGGGCTAATTCCTGGTCTCCTGGTCTTCCATTAAGATTCAGCACAAACATTCTCTCTTCCTTCAAAGCCTCCCAGCCTGGGCTAAGTGCCCCTGCTGTGCTCTGTCAGCATCTCTCTAACATCCCCAGTATTATATTCCCCAGTAAGCTGTTCATGTGTCCTTCTCCCTTACTAGTGTGGGAGGCTTCTGGAGGGCAGATATTGGATATTACTTCTCTCTCAATCCCAGGATCTGGCAAACAGTATGCGATCAGTAAATATCAATACCTAAACGTATTGTGTGCTAGCAGTCTACCTGTACTATCTCATTTACTCCTCACAACCACCCTATGAGGTAGGGACAATTACATACTTACTTTGCAGGTAAGAAAGCTAAAACTCAGAAAAATTAAATAAAATGTTTGAAGTCACACAGCCTGTTAGTGGCAGGGCCAGGATTCTAACGCGAGGTCTGCCTGATTCTAAGGCCCTGGTTTAACTGCCGTGTTGTATTATTTGACCCGAATTGAAACGAAGGAAGCTATGGTTCTCATTGGGAGCTGTCACTCCAAGACTGTTCTGTCCCCTGTCCTTTACTCCCCAAACCTTCTCAAATCTCCTGACTGACCTCAAAACGGTTCTGCCGGGTGGGGATGTCCACTGCCGTCAAGTCAGCCAGGGATTTGAACTGTGCATTGCTGTGATCCCTGAGGAAAGTCAGCACTGGGATGACCCCGTCGGGATGGATACAGATCTCTAGCTCATTGAAGCAGGACACCTGCAGAGGTGGAATGGGAGGGGAGAGAGAATAAAGAGCCACTGAGGGAGCAGCTAACTTCAGCTGGATTCTCCTGGTTTAAGGCAGAGAAAGAAGCCCAAGTGGGGATGGAGGGGTCTGTGGTTTCTTTGACGCCAGGCTGCCCACTCCCACAAGCCCTGAGAACACGGTTCTTTCTGGACCCAGACCAGACAGCAGCAGTGAATCTTACCTGAACTTGTTGGACATACTTGGGCAGGATTTCAGCCACATACTCTCCAAAAGCCGAGAGCTGCTTGTGGGCCACGTCATTCCGCGGTCTGACAGTGGCTGGAAGGAGAAGGCATATTTAACGAAGGAGTGGAGAAGACAGCATCCAGCCCAGCATCTAGTCTCTCGAGCTTATAAAGGGTGCTGTCTCCCAGCACGGATCCCTGCAGAACCTTGAGAAAGGTGGGGGTGGAGGATTCCTCTTCCAGGGAATAGGAAGTGAGGCAAACGTAGGGAAAATACCACCCACACAATCCAAAAGACTCTTCTCATTACTGCAGCTGAGCCATTTGCCTCTTCTCAAAACTAGTCCATGGTTCTTGCTTCACGATGCCTGTATTTCTGCTAAAGCCGCATGTCTCAGCTCTCTACCAGACTAGGAGCTCTTGAAGGGTCTGAGCTCTTGAACTAGGAGCTCTTGAACGTCTGCTTCTCTGTATCTCCTTAGCACCTGGCTCATAGCAGCTTCTCAAGCTATGAGAGCCCCCACAGATTATGTGGTTGAAACCGGTTTTTTGGGGTTTTTTTTTTTTTGCATAGTTGAGGGAACTAAGGCCCAGAAAGGGGGGAAATGCCAGGTCTCCTGACTCCCAGTCAGCTCATGTTGACTGTAACATATCTCCATACACTCATTCATGCGACCCTAAATCACTAGGCACCCACACCTCATAGACTGCAGACCAACAGTTAAGTGTTCCCTGCCTCTGACAGCAGGCAGGCCTGCTCTGTCACTCACTGGTGCTGTGACCCTGGGCAAGCTACTTCTCTGGACTGTTTCCTGATTTTTAGTATGAAGATGTGAAAATTAATAAAGGAAACAACTTAAAATGGACTCAGCAAGCCCTGTAGGGAACGTTTATGAACCACCGCTCCTTGCTGTCTGCAGACCCCAAACAGGAAGAGGGGCACCTGGCATCTCTGACAAGAAGCTTACTTTGCTATTCTCGCAGAAGGCAGACTTTCTCCTGGCCCAGCAACAAGCTCGGTGAATGAGAAACCGTCACCACCCTGCACTCTCAGCTTTCCTCCAATGGACTTTCCTTCAAAGCAGCCCCTCCCCATTTCCTTCTTTTTCTCTATACAGCTCCTCTCCTTTGGTTTGCCCAACTTGACTTGCCTATGGTTCAGCCAGGGTCTGGCTATTCCGAATTGCAATTCCTCTGCCATTCCCAAATAAACCTTGCTGGCAGAAGAACTGGCTGTTTTATTTTAAGATCGACAAAGAGCATAACGCTATCTACCTCATAAGATTGTTGGGAGGACTACATAAGATCCTTCACTAAAACGCTCAGCAAGTTGCCTGGCACACAATAATCACTCAATTAACGTGAGCTACTATTCTAACAGCGCTCTGAAGCCCAAAGGTTATGTTTACTGCTTTCAAAGAGCGGACCGTTTAATCAAAGAAAAAGGGAACTTGGAAATGGACATGGGTCAAGCAGGGACGTAACAGAAAGACTTAGGGCATAGGAAAGGCCCGATCCTGCCTGCAGAGTGAGGATCACCGCAGTCAGGTCTCCAAGGGCAGGCAGAGATTTGCCAGGAGGACGCAGGGAAGGGCATCCCAGAGCAAGAACAAACATCGGAGGAAGGGAGCAAAGCATCCCCCGCCTGGAATCCCGACAAGGGCCCGGCCCGCACATACTCACGGCGCGTGTCAGCTGCAGCGCTTTCCGTCCTCACTGGCAGCAACAGCACCGAGGGTCGCCTGGCCGCTGCACGGGGAGACAAAAGGCACAGGAGCACAGGGTGAGGCCTCAGGGGCTCCCTGCGCTGGGCGCACCGCTGCTGCTGCCCCAGGCCTCAGCCGGCTGCCCCCTGCTCACCCCTGGCCAGCGCCACGGTCCCCACGAGCCCCCGCCACCAGCCCCTAGCCGCCGCCGCCGCCATGTTCTCCGGACGCAGACCAGGCAGCCGAGGCAAGACCCACAGGACACGGAGCCCCAAGGGCACGGACCGGAAGCGGAAGGGTGCATCCGATCTTCTTCCGGGCAGACGCGGGGCCGGAAGCAGAGGTTCCGGGTTCCTGGCTTCGGAATGAAAGGAGAGAACGCAGGTGAGAAAGCGAAGCAGACAGGTGGGGAAACCGTGAGGTGAGCGTGGCCCTAGCTTGGTGTGGCAAAGGCTGGAGAGAAGGCGAGGATCCTGAACGGGTGAGAGGAGGGGAAGGGGCGAGGGTTTTGGGTTACACATTCCACACCCCTCCCCCGCTCCTTGAGCTGAGATTTTGACGAGGGCCGGCGGGCAGGGGGGTGGGGGGGCGAGAAGAACGGTTTCCCTGGCGACCGTTTCCCAGGCGACTCTTGGTGGGGCGGAGACACTGCACAGGGCAATGGCCCTCCTCGTCCCCCGGGCTGGAGGCGGCTGGTTTGTGTCGAGTTCTGGGACGGAGCCTTGGGGAGTGATTAGGGCGAGCGGGGGAGAAGCTCAGAAAAGAGCAAATGTGGTCTGACCCGTGTCCCAAGCCAAGCCTCATACTGGAAAGTCTGGACTCCGTGGGGCAGGGAGGAGGGGCGGGGGGCTGGATACAGGACATGGGGAGCGTTTTTGTCTGATTCTGCTGCCCCGAGCCTCACTAGTTTTATGCCCAGTAGTTGTTTGGTTAGTAAGTCTTATTTGGCAGGCTTTTAAGGTCACAGGCTTCCTCCAGCGCCTTGCTTTCATGTGTTGACCTAAATACCAACCTTTTGTTACATCATGGAAAGGAATATTCCATGTTTTCTCGGGGAAACGTCCACAGTAGGAAATTTTATTGATTTTATTAGGGCTGGGGTGCCACTGCAGGAGAATGAACTCAAAGAGGAGTATCAGAGATGTTCTTGGCAGAGCCAGGACTAGGGCCAATCTGGACCCACTTTGCTCTCACCTTTCCCTTCTCCCTCCCTGAATTGGACAGTTGGATTCATTGACTGTGGCTGTGGATTCCCCAAGTTACGCAGGGTGGTGTTGCTTTGCAGACAGCTGGCAGAGAGAGAAGCTGGCCACCATGGAATCACCAGAGGAGCCTGGAGCATCTATGGATGAGAACTACTTTGTGAACTACACTTTCAAAGATCGGTCACACTCAGGGCGTGTGGCTCAGGGGATCATGAAACTGTGCCTGGAGGAAGAGCTCTTTGCTGATGTCACCATCTCAGTGGAAGGCCGGGAGTTTCAACTCCACCGGCTGGTCCTCTCAGCTCAGAGCTGCTTCTTCCGGTCCATGTTCACTTCCAACCTGAAGGAGGCCCACAATCGGGTGATTGTGCTGCAGGATGTTAGCGAGTCTGTTTTCCAGCTTCTGGTTGATTATATCTACCATGGGACTGTGAAACTTCGAGCTGATGAGCTGCAGGAAATCTATGAGGTGTCAGACATGTATCAGCTGACATCTCTCTTTGAGGAATGTTCTCGGTTTTTGGCCCGCACAGTGCAGGTGGGGAACTGCCTTCAGGTGATGTGGCTGGCAGATCGGCACAGTGATCCTGAGCTCTACACTGCTGCCAAGCACTGTGCCAAGGCCCACCTGGCACAGCTGCAGAGCACAGAAGAATTTCTCCACTTGCCCCACCGTCTACTCACTGATATCATCTCGGGTAAGTTGACGGAGGGACACCTCACACTCAGCTACTTGGGTATGATGTTCAGTGAATGTTCTGGTTCAGGAGAAAGGAACCCTCAGGCTTCCCGGTGTTAGTTTCCATTATTCCTGGTAGGAATTTAGATACCTTCTGAGAGAGATTGAGTGGAGATTTAGTGTAGCTGCTCTCAGAGACAGAGGAAGAAGCCAGGAAAACAAAAGCAGCAGCACTTGACACAAAAGGTAGTGAGGAGCTATTAGTATTTATACTCTCATCTCCTGTGCATAAGTATTCTCGGTCCTGCACTTTACATGTACCCATGGGACTAGTAACCTAAGTCAGTTGACGATGAGTCAGGATAGCTAAAAAACTTTTATTTAAGTGATGCGCCAACTTTAGGCAACAATCCTGACCCTGCAAATGAGGTATAACCATATTTCAGGTGTGAGGTCTGCAGCCTAGTAGATTGCTTCCATAGCAGATGGGAGCATATCAAGGCATCCATTTGGATTAAAAGAAAGAAGGCCATTTTAGGTTAATTTCTCATACACATACATACATGGTGGTAGTCTAACAAAGCGGTTCACATCTTTAAAGCCCCTGGCTCTAAATTTCCCTTTCAAAGTGTCGGATTGCCATTGACCATGCCTTTCCTCTGGCTCTTACAGATGGAGTTCCATGTTCCCAAAACCCAACAGAGGCAATAGAAGCCTGGATCAATTTTAATAAAGAGGAAAGAGAGACTTTCTCAGAGTCCCTCAGGACTAGCTTGAAGGTAAGGCAGGTTTCTCTAGGGTTGGGCCGCTATGATATCCATGCATTCCAGCCGTCAGTTGGCCTGGCCTGTTTGATGGCTGGTGAATAAGTCGTCTCTGGCTTGAAGTTGCTAAGAGCTGGGGAGGAGGATGTGTGCGTGAGCCCAGAAGCCACCAGCCTCGGAGCGGCAAAGCTCCTTGGGAGAACTGCTTTTGTCCTGCAGTAACAATCCTAAGCACTGTTTGTCTGAAGCACCAGCTCATGATAGTTCTAAAAAAGCTGGAAGGATGAGTCCAGCAGATTTTCTGCCCCAGCATAAAATGCCTGAACAAAAGTGACTGGAGGAGAGTCAGGATGACACACAGTAACTAAGGGGAGTAAGTTAGAGCAAGATACAAGTGTGTGGTCTAGGACTTCAAGGATATGTGTCTCAGCTGAGCCTTAGCCTAGAACTGATAGATATCATTTATAATTTTAATTTTGCCAATAGGAAATTGGGGAGAATGTGCACATTTACCTGATCGGGAAAGAGTCATCTCGTACCCACTCGTTGGCTGTGTCCTTGCACTGTGCGGAAGATGACTCCATCAGTGTAAGTGGCCAAAACAGCTTGTGCCACCAGATCACTGCAGCCTGCAAGCATGGTGGAGACTTGTATGTGGTGGGAGGGTCCATCCCACGGCGTATGTGGAAGTGCAACAATGCCACCGTGGACTGGGAGTGGTGTGCACCTTTGCCCCGGGACCGGCTCCAGCACACCCTCGTGTCTGTGCCCGGGAAAGATGCCATATATTCACTGGGTGGCAAGACACTGCAGGATACCCTCTCCAATGCAGTTATCTATTACCGGGTAGGTGATAACGTTTGGACAGAGACAACCCAGCTAGAGGTGGCTGTGTCAGGGGCCGCTGGTGCCAACCTCAACGGGATCATCTATTTACTAGGGGGGGAGGAGAATGACCTGGACTTCTTTACCAAACCTTCCCGACTCATCCAGTGCTTTGACACAGAGACAGACAAGTGCCACGTGAAGCCCTACGTGCTGCCCTTCGCAGGCCGCATGCACGCAGCTGTGCACAAGGATCTGGTGTTCATCGTGGCTGAAGGGGACTCCCTGGTGTGCTACAATCCCCTGCTAGACAGCTTTACCCGGCTTTGCCTTCCTGAGGCTTGGAGCTCTGCCCCATCCCTCTGGAAGATCGCCAGCTGTAACGGGAGCATCTATGTTTTCCGGGACCGATATAAAAAGGGGGATGCCAACACCTACAAGCTTGACCCTGCCACTTCAGCTGTAACTGTCACCAGAGGCATTAAGGTGCTGCTTACCAATTTGCAGTTTGTGTTGGCCTAAGACTGTGAGAGGGACGAGCAGCTGACTTTTGTCCTCCCCTTTTCCAGCACCTACCCATCCAAACTTGAAGTCCCCAAGGTCCCAACTCAGAATACTATGTTATTTCTTGGCACATGTTAGCAAGGCAGCACCTCAACTTCCCCTGAACCCATAGGGTGTTCCGTTTGGGGCTTTTTAGACTCAGCTGGCTGCTTGAATGGAGAGTAGGCCAGCCTGTTCCCTGCTCTCCCCTGGTAATCCTGTGCCCCACTACAGATTGCTTAGAGCAAGCCTCTTCTCAGATCTTAGGCACAGTCTCCCCTCCTTACCTGATCACTGTTAAGTAGAAGCACCCCTGATCCCAGGACCGAAGAAAAGATGCCCAGTCTTCCTTTTTTTCTATAGCCTGCAAAGTGGCTAGTTGGTAATTTTTCCACAAAGAATTAGGTGTTAGTTTTCCTTCAGGATTTAGTTGGGAGAATCGACTAAGCTGAAGGTGTCCTTCACCAGCAAGAGTCAGCTCTAGAATTCAGGACGTTCCGTCTATTGTTTTCTCATCTATCTGTCAGGAAATGTATACTTTGGTTTTATTTTTGGCTTACTCCAAGGGGTAAGCCAGAAAGAAGCAGAAAGGATTATTTCTGATTAATAGCAGAAACTTTTTTCAAACTCAAATATATAAGCTCCCTACTCTTTTAACAGCTCTAAGCTAAGTCAAGAGCTAGGAACTGTTCATACAAATAAAAGTTTTTGAAGGGATATGTGTGTCTGTTTTGAATTCTAAAGGGGTGACTTCCTAAGGGAAACTAATTACATAGCCACCTGTTTCTGAGTCAGTCACAATACTGATTGAATCTCATACTTCCTTTTCTACACACAGGATCACTGCTCCAAAAGTGAGGAGAGCCTCATGGGGCCAGTGAATTGGGCTTCTGCTAATGGCAAAAAACAAGAGCTGAGTATTTCTCCCCTCTTTTCGTAGTGTTAAATGTCTCTGAGTTATGGTGCTAAATATCATCAGGCATGATGTTAAGTGCACGGTAGTTTCTTTGACCCTATTCACAAAAATACCCTCATCCCTGTCCCATATCCCCATACTCCATGAACAGAAGTCACACTAAATCTTTCTAGCCGTACAACAGTGTTATTTCAGGAAAATGAAACAAGACAAAGGGAGCAAATGATCCATTACTTAGCACATTTCTGTTATGTCAAGTCGGGGCTTAAGTCCCCTTGATCCTGTGAAACCTGTTCATTCTGTAGCAAGCAGGGTTGTCCTGAGTTCCTTCGAATCCACATCTCCACGTACTTCACGTCTGTGAGGTGTGATGAGCCGCGTCCTTTGCTGCCCCTTCAGTGATCTCCTTGTGGAACTCTTTGAGAACTTCAAACTGCCCAGGTCTGATGTAGATGTGTGACCGGATCTTGGTGATGGCTCTTACAGCCTCCTCTGGACTCCACTTGTGCACCTGAAGTCCAGGGTTGGGAGATGAGCAGAGAAAGAAAGGAGCAGGTATGGAGGGGTCCTTGACCTAACAACAGGTGCTAAAGGGCTCCCAGAATTTCATTTCTTAAAAAACTCCATCTGGGGGGATTTAGAAGCCATGCCCCATATATGATAAATGGGGGAGCACTTTAACCCCTCAGCCAGCCAGTTCCACAGTATCAGGCAACAGGCCCGGGGACAAGTCAGTCTGTATCTAATTCTTGCTTTGTCAAACCCTGGGCAAAGAAGGCTGAACACATGAAGCTGAGGTCCTAAATTCAAGCCTGCCTGGGCCTACTAGATGCCCTGAGAGGAAGTGTTGGTTACAAGAATTTCCTGAAAGAGTATACAGTGGATGTTTTTATACAACTTGTCACCATGGCTAGAAAAACAGGAGGGTTATCTTCGTGTCCTAAGGATAGTTATTGGTTTCATACTCAAAAGAACCAAGAAAATGGAGATTTCTAGCCTGCTGGTTCAATTCTCACTCAGCCAAAAATATCTTCCTGAGACCCTGTTTCCAGCAAACAGAGCCCTAATAACCAAAGCTTTAGTATTGTTAAATCATATATCCACCAGTCCGGGTAACACAAACAAGGCCAGGCTGGTTATGTCCATTTCCTTTTTCCTTAAACTATCCACATGACTTAGGAAATGCTCTGAAGGGGCCAGACAGGTAACAAAAATTAGTCCAGCTGGAGCGTGTAACAGGGAATGACAGACTAGAGAGTATTTGCTTCTAAAGATGTTTAAAAGCATCCCATCTGCCCATCATGACAAATTGATAGGCAAAATTCCATTGCAACCTCTGTTTCTAGAAGCCAGTGTCCAGAACTTGACCCTGAAATGCGTGAAGAAACCTGAGTAGTATAGAGCTGTAAGTGATCAGCACTATTTACTAGATTTCCTAACACGCAATTTATAACAAGTATTTCTAGCCTTTTGCTGGTGTTTACATCCTTTGCAACTCCATTTTTTTGAGTGCCTCCTGTAGGTCAGTGCCTGACATACTTTCTTATTCAAGCTTCATAACACATTTAGTTTGAGGAAACTGAATGGCAGAGAGAGGAAACCACTTTTGCCCAAGGCCACACAACCGGCAAGCGGCAAAGCCAGAAGTCAGCTTATCTGCAAAGCTCAAGCGCTTTCCACCTCCCAGCAGCCTGAAACTGGGGACATGGCTCCTCCCAGCAAGGCCCGCCAGCAGACCAAGCTGCCGAAGTTCTGGAGATGTGCTGTGAATGGGACCCAAAGACCTTTCCTACCTGAATCAGATATGCTGCCACCATAGTGGCACTTCTGGAGCGCCCAGCCTTACAATGCACGTAGACGGACTGGCCCAGCGACTGGTATTTGAGAGCAAACTGGACTCCTTTCCGGAGGTTAACCAAGGTTGGGATTCCAGTCATGTCTACTGTGCTGAGCCGCAGCTGCTCAACTCCTACTTTCTTCCACTCCTGGAACCAGGTCCACCAACATAAAAAAAAGAATGAGAAAAGCCTGATGTAAGTGGTATGCAGATGGGCTCCCAAGACGGAGCGAAGCAACAAGGACACTTCAGGCTTTACTACAACATGAATAGACTGTTTACCGTTTTCTGAACAAGAAACTTCTTACAGAAAAGAAATGTCTTTAAGATGGCTCAGCTACATGGTTGGTCTTCCACCAAACAGCTGTGCTGCCGAGGTAGAATTATGTCCGAGATTTAAAGTGTTCTTGGGCGCGGGCCCACTGGCACAGCAGTTAAGTTCGCACTCTCCGCTTCAGTGGCCCAGGGTTCGCCGCTTGGGATCCCAGTCCCGACCTGCACACTGCTCATCAAGCCACGCTGTGGCAGGCGTCACACATAGAAAGTAGAGGAAGATGGGCATGGATGTTAGCTCAGTGCCAGTCTTCCTCAGCAAAAAGAGGAGGATTGGCAGCAGATGTTAGCTCAGGGCTAATCTTCCTCAAAAGAATAAAAAATAAAATACAAAACATAAGTGTTCTTTTTCTTTTAAAGATTTTATTTTTCTCCCCAAAGCCCCCCCGGTACATAGTTGTATATTTCGTTGTGGGTCCTTCTAGTTGTGGCATGTGGGACGCTGCCTCAGCGTGGTCTGATGAGCAGTGCCATGTCCGCACCCAGGATTCGAACCAATGAAACACTGGGCCGCCTGCAGCGGAGCGTGCGAACTTAACCACTCGGCCACGGGGCCAGCCCCAATAAGTAAGTGTTCTTAAAGTACACGTTGGTATTTGAATCTTTAGCTGCAAAATATTAGTTGTATAAAATTCATCTGGGGCCAGCCCCGTGGCCGAGTGGTTAAGTTCATGCGCTCTGCTTCGGCGGCCCAGGGTTTCACTGGTTCGAATCCTGGGTGCGGACATGGCACCGCTCATCAAGCCATGCTAAGGTGGCGTCCCACATGCCACAACTAGAAGGACCCACAACTAAAAATATACAACTGTGTACCAGGGGGCTTTGGAGAGAAAAAGGAAAAATAAAAAATAAAATCTTTAAAATTCATCTACAAAAGTTGTGTAATTGTTTTTGCATAATCTTGGGACCTATGCAGTGATCCAGCTGCAAGCTTGGGCTACCATATTTTGCAAGAGCTTTCTTTTCCTCTATCCACAGGTCTCCTCTTTTTTACCACTTTTTTTTTTTGAGAGTTAGAAAATAAAGTTATCCTTTTTTTTAAAAAGATTTTATTTTTTCTTTTTCTCCCCAAAGCCCCCCGGTACATAGTTGCATATTTTTAGTTGTGGGTCCTAGTTGTGGCATGTGGGATGCCACCTCAGCATGGCTTGATGAGCGGTGCCATGTCCACACCCAGGATCCGAACCAGTGAAACCCTGGACTGCTGAAGGGAAGCGTGCGAACTTAACCACTCAGCCACGGGGCAGGCCCCAAAGTTATTCTTTTATTTTTTTTGTTTCTGTTTTTTTTTTTCCTTTTTCTCCCCAAAGCCCCCAGGTACATAGTTATATATTCTTAGTTGTGGGTCCTTCTAGTTGTGGTATGTGGGACGCTGCCTCAGCGTGGCTCAATGAGCGGTGCCATGTCCGTGCCCAGGATTCAAACCAACGAAACCCTGGGCCACCTGCATCGGAGCGCATGAACTAAACCACTCAGCCATGGGGCTGGCCCCCTGTTTTTATTTTTTTTATTATTATTTTTGTCTTTTTCGTTCTCCCCAAAGCCCGAGTACATAGTTGAATATCCTAGTTACAAGTCCTTCTAGTTGTGGCATGTGGGACGCTGCCTCAGCATGGCTTAATGAGCAGTGCTAGGTCTGCACTCAGGATCCAAACTGGGGAATCCCTGGGCCGCCACAGCGTAGTGCGCGAACTTAACCACTCAGCCACAGGGCCAGCCCCTAAAGTTATCATTTTTAAAATTAAAACAACGCACCTACCTTTGTTAGTGCAATACTATCACTTAAGAAGAAGAAAAGAATAAGAAGAGAAAAGCCTCTGGTGAATGGGTAACATTTTGCTTTAAGACTTCAGATGGGTTCCAGCTACTCTTATTATTAATCTCTTTAGCTGGAACCAGAGATTTTATGACTCTCAATGAAGGTCAATATTTTATACTGCTCATGAAATTAACAAAAAGCAGCAGTTTTGCAGCACCTGGCTTATGTATCAATTGCACCAGAAACACCAGGGGAGCTTACTAAATATACTGAGATTCCTAGGCTCCACCCTAAAGTTCCTGAGTCAGAATCTGTGGGGCTTGTACCTAGGAATCTGCTATTTTTAACAAGACTGCCAGATCATTCTTAGGCATATTAAAATGTGGAACCACTGCCTTGGAGATTTCTTGTCTCTAGGCTAGTGGGATAACATAGCCCCATGGGACCAATGTCAGTGCCTCACACCCAGAGACCAAGCGCTTTGTGACTCCTCTTACTCCACAGGGCTGACCACACTAAGGAATACTTACCATTTTGCCTAGTAACTTCCTGAGGCCTTGTGGCAAAGTGCTTTGGGACATCCAAAGAACTGTTATCCACTCCTTAAAAATGTGTGCCATCACGAATCAATGTATTTTAAATTTTTAAATGTGTCGCAAATATTTTTAAGATTCCCAAAAATCTACTGATTGAAATAACAGCATCTTCATCAGGCTATATCAGTACAGTAAACAAGAAAGATAACTGTGTAGTGTTAATAGATGTCAGACAATATGAAGACAGGGCAATGTCTAATAACCATTGTGGAGAGCTCCACAAGCAAGCATTCACATTTCATGAAAATTATGTTGTAGGCCTGAACTTTATATGACAGTGCTTATAAGTTCCACTATATCCCTAACATATAAATAAAAATTCCCTCATATCAGAGCCAAATGAACCCCATGCAGTTTTTCAACGGGTCGTTTTATGATAAATTTACTGGGGAGGGGGAGTGGGGGAGGGGAGCTTTTCTTACAGTTTATAGGGCCTTCATCTTGAACGCCCCAAGCAGTGCCTGATCCATACTTAGTGCTCAATAAGTGTTGAATGAATGAAATCAGCAAGCCATAGAAAAGCTGCCTTTCAATTTTGGTTACCGATTTAAGTTACCGAAACTAAGAATACCTTTGTGCACAAAGGAGTCATCAAGACTTTGTTAACTCTACTTTTAAACGCCTCTCACATCAGTTTCTACCTCCAGCCGCAGCCATTTAAGCTTGGAGGACCAGATCCCCCTCCTGAGGAAGCACACAAGCCCGGACACCTGTCTCTAGGGCACGGTCACCTGCTGCGCCCCCTCCCGCCCAACCTCCTCCGGTTCAGCCGAGCCCGGGGCGGCGGGGGCGAGCCCCGGCCCCTCACCTTGGCGGAGTTGCACAGGAACCTCGTCTCATACTCCTCGTTCATGGTGATCACCCCGCGCACGTTCTCGTCCTGGACCAGCTGCCGAGGCAAAGAGGGGGCTCAGAAAGGGCCGCCGGGCCGGGCCGGCGCTCGCCCGGCTCCCAGGCCCGGCCCGCTCACCCGGCGCGTCATGCTCCGCAGCGGCAGCGCGCCCAGCAGCACGGTGGCGTCGATGCGGTGGTACCAGTCGCGGTGCGCGCGGCCCGGCATCTTCTCGAGAAACACGGTGTACAGCAGCGTCGGGTAGAAGAGCACCCGGGCCAGGCCGGCCTCCAGGAACGCGCCGGCCGCCATCCTGCGCCCCCGGAGCTGGCGGAGCGGCGACCTGCCCGCCCCGGAGTTCGCGGCCCGCGGCCACGAGGAGAACCCGGACGGCGGCGAGCGCTGCGAGGTGGCGGCGGCGTCCGGCGCGGACGCCAAGACCTGGGGCCCTGCCCCTCCGCACGCCGCGGGACGGTCTGGGGCCCCCCCGGCGGGGACCATGGCTCAGGAGGAGGGGCCGCCGGCCTCGGGGGAGGGACCAGGGATTCCTGGGCGCGAAACTGAGTCCCCGCCGAGGGAGGGCGCGTCTTAGGTCAGAGGCCTGTGACTTAAGGCGTGTCCAAGTGTGGCCCCTGCCTGTGGCCGGCGACAGCCCCCCGGGGGAGGGGGCTGCGACCCCAAATGAGGGGGGCTCTGACCCCTGCGTGTGGAAATGACCTAGGCCGAGGGAGGCGGGGCCCTGTCCCTGGCCGGTGGGCCTGTGACACTCTTCAACCCCCGACCAAAGGGAGGGGCCTGTGATCCCAGGTGAGGATGTGACCCCATCAAAGAGACAAGACCAGGAAGAGACTCTGGTAGGGGTAGCCCTGAGCGGAGAGTGGAAGGGGCTTTGCTCTTTTAAGTAGAGGGGCTACCTTGGTCGAGAGGGGCTGGTCCTGGGCAAACAGGGGACCTGGGTCTATATGGCCCTTGCCACAGCCCCATCCGCCTGAATTCATGGCTCGCTCCTGACCAAGCCACAGTGTATATACTTATTGCGACAAATAAATAAATATAATATCTATAATATATTGTGAAAATATATCATTAAGAAAAATATTATAAGTTTAAATATAAAACCCACAACCTACAGGAAGTAAGAGGAATGGTTGTAATACTGGTTATTTGCATTTAAGTCTCTGAAACATGCATCTGGTGCTCTTAAGAAAGGTTTCTTTTCTCCTTATAAAAGTAATACATACTCAGAACAACTGGAAAATCCAGGAAAGTAGAATATACTTTACTCACCCATAACCTTACTACCTCAAATACATTGATTTATTTCCTCCAATTTTTTTCGTTTCTGCTTTATCTCCCCAAACCTTGCCCCCCCCCCCCCCACATAGTTGTATATCTTAGTTGCAGGTCCTTCTAGTTGTGGGATCCTCCAATTTTCTATGTGTACCATTTTAAAAAATGTTTATAACAGCTTTATTGATATAATTCACATACCATAGAATTCACCCATTTCCAGCATACAGTTCAATGGTTTTTAGTATTCACAGAGTTGTGCAACCATCACCACGATTGATTTTAGAACATTTTCATCATCCACCCCTCCAAAAAAACCCCATACTCATTAGCAGTCACTCCCTATTTCCTCCCAGCCCCCCAGCCCTAGACAACCACTAATTTACTTTCTGTTTCTGTGGATTTGCCTGTTCTGGATATTTCAAACAAATGTAATCATACAATATTGTCTTTGTGTCTGACTTCTTTTACTTAGCATGTTTTCAAGGTTCATCCATGTAGCATGTATCAGTATTGTATTTCTTTTTTTGCCAAATAATATTCTACTGTGCGGATATACCACGTTTTATTTCTCCACTTATCAATTGATGGAAATTTTGGTTGTTTCCACTTTTTGGCTCTTTTGAATAATTCTGATGTGGACATTCATATACACGTTTTTGTGTGGACATATCTTTTCATTCCTCTTGGATATCTGCCAAAGAGTGGAATTATGGGGTCATACGGTGACACTATGTGGTCTGTGTGTACCATTTTAAAAAATCATTGTAATCATGTCAATCAAATTTTGTATCGCAATTTGTGATACAAAAAATGTTGTGCTATAAGCATTTTTGATATTTTTATATTGCCTTTATCATTTATAATGAACCTAATTACTACACCATAATGTGACCATTTTCCTGTTATTAGACATTCAGGATATTTCCAAATTTTCGTTATTATAAAATATTTCCAGCATGAAAATTTTTTGGTATATTTACTTATTTTCAGTGTTTAGAATTACTACATTAGAATGGGTTCCTAAAAGTGAAATTACTGTGTCAAAGGCTCATTTACAATTTTTGCTTTATAGAAAGTATATAACCTGAAAATTTCCATCCTTACCCCCAAACCCACTCTTCAGAAATACAGATTTTTACACACATATTGTTCCAACATTTTGTGATGAACATTTTCATAATAAAATAAATGAAAACTGAATAAATTGAACAGGAAAAACCCATATAGCCACCATCTAAATTCTACAATTAACATTTTATTGTATGTTTTATCACATATTCACCCATTAATCCATCCTATTTTTGATACATTTAAAATATACATATTTTATAAAAATGCACTCATCCTGTATTCACTGTTCTGTAATCTGCTTTTTTCTCTCAACAATATAAGTATTATGCCATGTCAGTATAGACAGGTGTACATTTATTTTTTTAAGAGTTACATAGTATTCCAATGTATGGATTTCAATTCAATTCAAAAATATTTATTGAGTGGCCTGTGTAGTCCAGACGATATTCCAGCACTTGGAACATGTCAGTGAACAGTATCGACGAAGACCTCTGCCCTCTCTTGCCTTTTCTGTATGAACTGTATTTCAGGATAACCAATATCCGAGGTTGGTGAGGAAAAGTTCTTCTTTACAGCAGATTTCCTATTAATAAATCTGGAAGGAATAATAAAATTAGAAACTCAGTATTTTGCATTCCAGCTAATAAATGTGGAAGGAATGATAGAATTAGAAACTCTGCGTTTTGCAATCCTTAGTGAAATAATTGATCCAGTCAATGGTCGGTCATTAATGGATAAAAGCATTCGATGAAACACTGATAGGAAACCTTACCATAGAAAGATCAGGCTGAGGCCACCGGAAACAATGATTAATTTCCAAATTGCTAAAAACAGGACAACCTGATATGATAGGCCTCCAGATGTGATGCAGTGTGATGCACCAAACTCAGAAAAGTCGAATCTGAATTTAACCAGGCCTCAAGAGCTCACGTTCATTCACAGGAAATATAGGAGATAGAGGGATAAGTTACATGTCATCATGGAGGAGCAACAGACAAATCCAGACTGTGGGACATTCTACAGAAACAACTGACTCAGTTTATGCAACAAGTCAAAAGCAGGGAAAAAAAAAAGAATGGGAGAGCAGCTGCCTCAGACCAGGAGTCCTAGAGGCGTGACAATCCGAAGTAACATGCAAACCATTTGGATCCTGATTCAAATGAATCAGCTATTCAAAGTCATTTTTTGAAACAATTGGAGACATTTGATTATGGATTGAAATAATTCTAAAGAATTATTGTTAATTTTGTTAGTGTGGTCATGGCATTGTTGCTATGTAAGGAAATGTAATATAAATTTACTTGTGCTTACTATAAAGTATGCAGACATAAATGACATGTGGAATTTGCCTCAAAATACTGTACCAAGAAAAAAAGACAGATTAGACAAATACGGCAAAATATTAATCATTGTTGAATCTGACTAATGTTCTACGGGGATTCATTATGCCCATCTGCCTTCTTTTTAAAAGATATTTTCGTAATAAAAATTAAAAATAATATGGTTTCTCCCACATGAATATATGATTAATAAAAATGGTAAATACAGCAGTCTTTTATGACTTTTTCATTAAAGATTCAACTACATTGTTTTGTGTAGATATTGTTCAGTAATTTTTGCTGCTCTCTAATAATCTATTACATGTTATATCATCATTTATTTACCCAGTCTTCTGTGGTGGAAATTTAGATTCGTTCCTGTTTTTATCAATTAAGATTTTATGCAGTCATATCTTTTATTGTTATTCCCCCCACCTCTGGTTTTACTTTGTAGTTTCTGATTATAATAGTAACAGATGCGGGGCCTGCCTGGTGGCTCAGCGGTTAAGTGCACACGTTCTGCTTCGGTGGCCCAGGGTTCGCCAATTCGGATGCCGGGTGTGGACATGGCACTGCTTGGCAAAAGCCATGCTATGGTAGGTGTCCCACATATAAAATAGAGGAAGATGGGCACGGATGTTAGCTCAGGGCCAGTCTTCCTCAGCAAAAAGAGGAGGATCGGTAGCAGTTAGTTCAGGGCTAATCTCCGCCCCCCCCAAAAAGAAAAGTTACAGAAGCTTGTTGTAAAAAATGCAAGTACTTCAAAATTATATAGTGTAAAAAGTGAAGGTCTCTTATAATCTTACCTCCAGAGATAATCACTATCAGAGTTAGGGGCATATTCCCCTAGGGGTTTTTTTCTTTTAGAGACTGTTAATTATCCATCAAAATTCTTTATCTACTTCTTCTATAGTATCTGAGCAGCCATATGCTCAATGTTCCTTATAGTTAGAGGTGACATAGGACTCAGTTATCTCCAATGGAATGTAAGTGGAAGTGATGGGTGAAGTCGTCAGAGGACCAGAGGACCTGGTTCATAACCCTCCATGAATCTCCTCCATACTCTTTTTCTCTTCTGTGGGCTGGAGTGGTGATGAGGATAGCTGGATTCATCCGAGCAGAAACGGGTTACAGATGGCAGAGTCCCCATTAATCAGGGTCACTAAATAACCACTTAGAGTACAGGCTACCTCTCTTCGTCCTCCCACTAACTAGGAACATCTACCCTATTCTGTTAAGGGAGAGAGAACTAAACTTCCATTTTATTTCAGCTAATTATTTTTTTTAAATTTTTTCTCCTTCTTCCCCCCAAAGCCCGCCAGTACATAGTTGCATATTTTAGTTGTGGGTCCTTCTAGTTGTGGCATGTGGGATGCCGCCTCAGCATGGCTTGATGAGTGGTGCTGGGCCGCACCCAGGATCCGAGCCCGCAAAACCCTGGGCCGCCGAAGTGGAGTGTGCGAACTTAACCACTCAGCCACAAGCAAGCCCCTCAGCTAATTATTTTAGGTCTGATTGTTATATTAGTTTTAACCTATCCTAACTCATATATGTGCATTAGTCAGTTGCGATGTGAGGCCCAACTTTTTTTTGTGTGTAAAACATACATACTATAAAATATGCCATCTTAGCCGTTTTAAGTGTACCGTTAGTTCATTGGCATGAAGTACATTCACATAGTTGTTAAACCATCACCGTCAAGCATCTCCAGAACTTTTTTCACCTTTGTAAACTGAAATTCTGTACCCATTAAACAAACAACTTCCCAGCCTCCCCTCCCTGAAGCCGTTCTCCTTTCCACCTCGATGACCTTGACCACTCTAGGTACCTCGTATAAGTGGAATCATACAGTATTTGTCCTTTTGTGACTGACTTTATTTAGCATTAAGTTCTCAAGTTTCATTCATGTTGCAGCAGGGGTCAGAACTTCCTTCCTTTTTAATGCTGAATAATATTCCATTGTATGTATATACCACGTTGTGTTTACCCATTCATCCACTGATGAACACTCGAGCTGTGAAACTCAACTCTTTGTTAGCCTAGGCACAAGGATGATCTACTGACTTATATAACATGCCTCGGAAAGGGCAAGCGGGCAGATGACGACAGACGCCAGGGGAGCCGGGGATTCAAATGCTGCCAGAACGTTTTTGTCTCTCACCATTCCTTCCTACGCCCAAGTCTCGCCACATTTCCCTCCTACAAGGGACTACATCTCTTCTCTTAGTTGTTAACAAGGAAGAATTGACATGTATACACATATATATGTATCTGTCTTTTTCTTAAAAGCAACAGTGAGAATTTTTTAACTTGGTTTTTGACACTTAACCATGTATTTTGAGCATCTTTCCATGTGTATATATATATATATATTTTAAAATTATATATATATTTTCCTAATAGCTTTCGATATGCTAACAAGTAATTGTACCATCACTTCTTCAACTATTTCCCTATTGATGGATAGAGAACCCAACTAGGTAGCTTCTATTTTTTGCTTGTTTTTTTTTACCAATAACAAATATAGTCAGTTCCATAAGGGCAGAGACCTTGTCTGTCTTATTCATGCCTATAACCGCATTGTCTAGCCCAGTGCCTGACATAGTTGGCATTCAGTAAATACTAGTTGCTGAATCAAAGAATGGTGTGGAAAATGCCCTTGTACATGCTTCGCCCACTTGTGCTTCTGAAGGAAACATTTCTAGAAATACAATTGCTATATTAAAGGATATGAGCATCTTTATAAGAGGGTCATGGAAAATTTTTTATAGCTTTGTTGAGTATAATTGACATACACTAAACTATCCATATTTAAAGTATACACTTTAATACATTTTGACATATGTGTATACTTGTGAAACGATCACCACAATGAAGATAATGGAACATATCCATCACCCCCAAAAGTTTTCTCATGCCCCTTTGTAACCCCTTCCTGCCCCACCTCTTTCCTCCCACACCCCACCACCCCTAGCAACCGCCAATTCACTATAGATTAATTAGAATTTTCTAAAATTTTATTTATTTATTTTTAAGATTTTTTTCTCCCAAAGCCCCCTGGTACATAGTTGCGTATTTGTAGTCGTGGGTCCTTCTAATTGTGGCATGTGGGATGCCACCTCAGCATGGCTTGATGAGCGGTGCCATGTCCGTGCCCAGGATTAGAACTGGCAAAACCCTGTGCCGCCGAAGCAGAGTACGTGAACGTAACCACTCGACCATGGGAGCAGCCCCTAAAAAGTTATTTATTTATTTAGTTAGTTATTTTTGAGGAAGATTAGCCCTGAGCTAACATCTGCTGCCAATCCTCTCCTTTTTTTTTTTTTTCGCTTAGGAAGATTGGCCCTGAGCTAACATCTGTGCTCATCTTCCTCTACTTTATGTGTGGGATGCCTGCCACAGCATGGCTTGATGAGCAATGTGTAGGTCTGTGTCCAGGATCTGAACTGGCAAACCCCAGGCCGCCAAAGCAGAGCACGCAGACTTAACCACTGCACTACCAGGCCAGCCCCTAGAATTTTATATACAAGATGTGAATATTTTTCACTTTAATGACTATTATTAAATTTCCCTCCAATATGGCTATATCTGTATTCATTGAGAGTACCTGTTTCTCACAACTTTATCAACCTTCAATATTTAATTTCCCAATCTGACGGTAAAAAAAAAAAAAAAAAAACCACCTTGTTTTAATTTGAATATCTTTAAGTATTTGTGAGCTGAGATTGACCATCTTAAGTTAATTGGGCATTCATATTCTTCCTATGAATTTCATGTTCATTTCCTTTGCCCATTTGTCTAACGGGTTGTTTGCTGTTATTCTTCCTGGCTACAGACAGTGCACAAACTCTGAGTGTCCAGCTTGATAAATTTTACATATCTAGACACTCCTGCGACTAGCACCCAGACTAAGACAGAAAACATTCCAATACTCCCAAAAGCTCCCTCGTGCTCCCCCTGGTCAAAAGTCAATCCCTTCTCCCTCACAAAAGTAACCTTGATTCTGACTTTTCTTACAATTTTTGCCTGTTCTCAGACTTAATTATGCAATATATGCTGTTTTTCTTCTAGCTTGTTTTGCTCAATATTGTGTCTGTGCAATTCTTCCATGTTGTTACATGTAGTAGCAATTTGTTCCTTTTCATTGCTATACAAGTAGTCCATTATAAGTATGTTCCATAATTTATCTACCATTTCCTGTTTAGGCTATTATTATTATTTTTTTTTTTTGAGGAAGATTAGCCCTGAGCTAACATCTGCTGCCAATCCTCCTCTTTTTGCTGAGGAAGACTGGCCCTGAGCTAACATCCATGCCCATCTTGCTCTACTTTATATGTGGGATGCCTACCACAGCATGGTGTGCCAAGCGGTGCCATGTCCGCACCGGGGATCTGAACCAGTGAACCCCAGGGCGCTGAGAAACGGAACGTGTAAACTTAACTGCTGCACCATGGGGCCGGCCCCATAGGCTATTATTAATAAAAGTGCTACAAACCATTCTTTCGGTGGAAATAAGTACTCATTTCTATTGGGAACAGAATTGCCGCATCATAGGGTATCAGTCCATTTAGTTGTTTGTCGTTACTGCATATGAAGTCTTCCTAAGTGGGTGTATCAATTTTCATTCCTACCAACAAGTTCAAAAAAAAGGCTCAACTTCAAATCTTGGTATAGAAAAGATGGTCTTTTAAAATGTGATGGATCGCGTGGATATCCACATGAAAGAAAAAGAAAAGAAATTTGACCCCTCTCTCATACCAGACACAAAAATTAGAGATGGATCATAGATCTAAATGTGAAAGATTAAAACAATAAAGGAGAAAATTTTCAAGACCTGGGTAAACAAAGATTTCCTAAATAGAACTCAGAAATGACCAACCATAAAATAAGGACCAATAAATAGGACCTTATTAAAATTAAAAATGTTTGTTCATCAAACTACTAAGAGGGTAAAGGCAAGCCAAAGACTGGGAGAAGATATATACATAATCTGACAAGGAACCTGTATTCAAAAATATATAAAGAACTCCTGCAAAGCAAAAAAAAAGAGAGAGAGAGAGAAAGAGAAAGGCTTGAGCAGGTAATTCATAAAATATCCAAATGGTCAATAAGCCTTAAATATGCAAAGTTTCTCAACATCATTAGCCATGAAGGAAACAAAAATTTAAACCAAAATAAAATACCACTACACTCCTACCGGAATGACTCAAATTAAAAGGACTGATAATACCAAGTGGTGGTGAGGATGCAGAGCACTATTAATATTTTAATAAATATTCTCTCTGGTTTTGTTTCTCTTTCTCTCAAGAAACACACTCTCTAACAAAGGTGGGATCGTATTGTACCTGTTAAGTTGTTACCTGCTTTATTCACTAAGCATGTATTATGAACATTTTCCCACAATTAAATATTTTTCTGTATCATTATTTGAAAATTATATATAATATTCTAGGTTCTAGGTATACCATACTTTTTTTTTTTAAAGATTGGCACCTGAGCTAACAACTGTCGCCAATCTTTTTTTTTTCTTTCTGCTTTCTCTCCCCAAATTCCCTTGGTACATAGTTGCATATCCTAGTTGCAGGTCCTTCTAGTTGTGGCATTATACCATACTTTTTTTTTAGGGAAAGAGCTAACATCCGTTGCCAATCTTCCTCTTTTTTTTTCCTCTCCAAAGCCCCAGTGCGTGGTTGTATATCCTAGTTATAAGTCCTTCTAGTTATTCTCTGTGAGCCACCACCACAGCATGGCAACTGACAGATGCGTGGTCTGGTTCTGTAACCAGGAAGTGAACCCAGGCCACGGAATTGGTGAAATGGCCAGACATTGACCACTACGCCATCAGGGCCGGCTCTACCATACTTTTTTTCATCAACCTCTTTTTGTATCTAATTTTATGCTGTTTCAACACTGGTATGATCCATATACATCAGTACATCTCTTATCCATGATTATTTCCTTAAGATAAGTTCCTAGAAAGGTATGTAAAATTTCAAATTCTCCAGACAGACTATCCGAATTTTACTCCCACCAGCACTTGGAGAGGCTGTGTTTCCCTGCATTCTTGTTAACATTGGCTCTGTTTAAAAATAAGTCTTCATAATTTGGAAAGCAAAAAATGAAACAGGAAGCTTCTCATACTTGTTTACATCTTACATCAGGCTTTTACTGTTTAGTATTTTATCTATGCTTTGAGGCCCTTCGAAGTCATAAGAGCCCATTCATGTTCTTCATATAATTGCTCTTCCTTCCAGTTGGGGCTAATGGCTTGCGGCCTTCCTTGGTCACTAGAAGCAAGGGATACTAGTACCCTGCGAGGAGTGGCAGTCCCTCTCTGCCCATGGGAGCCCTAATTCAAGGGGCAGAGAAAATAGGGAAAAGTTTCTGGTTCTCCTTCAAGAAATATCTGTTGAGCCAGACACTGTGCAAAGCACTGGACAGACAAGAGAATAACCAGACAGGGGTGTTCCCTGCTTGCATTTAGCTCAAGGAAGCTTCTGAAGGCTAAGCAATTCATTCTCTTTTCTCATTCTCGGCACCTAACATGCCTATTCATTAATTCAACAATATTCATTGATGGGGGGATGGGATGAAGGGGGTCACAAGGCACAGACTTTCAGTTCTAAGATAAACAAGTACTAGGGATGTAATGTACAGCATGATGACTGCTGTGTGGTGTATTTACAAGTTGTTAAGAGAGAAGATCCTAAGAGTTCTCATCACAAGGAGAAAAACCACTTTTTTCTTTTTCTTTTTTTGTATTTATATGAGACGATATTAATTAAACTTATTGTGGTAATCATTTCACAATATACGGAAGTCAAATTAAAAAAACAATATTTATTGAGGACCTACTATGGGTTAGGCATTATTCTAGGCCCTGAGGATATAAAACAGACAAAATCTCTATCCTCATAGAGTTTACCTTCTGGTGGGAAAGACTACAAATAAAATAAGTAAAGTATGAAGTACAAAATACATTATGCTAGGTGGTGATAAGTGTTTTGGATAAAAACAAAGCGGGAAAGGGGAATTGGAAGCATGAGTGTATGTATGTGTAATTTTAAATAGAGTGGTCAGGAAAGGCCCAACGGAGAAGGTGACATTTGAGTAAAGACCAGAAGGAGATGAGGAAGCCAGCCACATATGTATCTGGAAGCTTCTATGGCATACAAAAGAATGAGGCAGATTCTCTGTTTAAAAAGTTTCCACAACCTATGGCAGCTGAGAGACAAATATAAAATTAATTGTGGTAATGTAGGTGACAACATTCTATAAGCTATAATGATCTATAAAAATAGGATGTTTTCAGTAAATTACACATGAAACTATTAACAAGAACAGGATCATATATCAACATTATAAATGTATATAAAATGATAAACTATGCAGTACAATTAGGGAAGATGATAGTGTACAATTTAGGGGTTAATTGTTCTGATCTATATGGGACCAGAAAAACTGCGGTTAGTTTTTTTTCCCCCCAAGGGGGAAAGAAGTGCTTCCAACACATGGGAAAACCCTTGAGGCTTCTGCTTGGGAGTCCACTTATTTTTCTGCGGTAAGGGAGGGTATAATCAGTATTTGTGGGTATAAGAATTATTTGCTCTGGGAAGCCAGATGATGTTACAGAGAAATCATTTGCAAACCCATGAGTTATTTGCATGTTGCTGGGGCCAAAAGTTCCCAGAACTAGGTTTTTTTCCTCTGTCTGCATTTCACTGTCCCACAAAGTGTAGAACCTGCCCAATAAACGACGTTGGCCTATTTAAAAAACAAACAAACTACTATACTGTTTGCATTCCACCTGGATGCTGGGATTCCTGAGTCGCTCTGAAGGAGGTCTTTAGGGACCTAACCTGGGTTGTTTAAAATTTTTTTTTTCTGGGAGAAGCAGGGCTGGGCAAGCAGGTCTTAACCCTTATGAGCTCCCTAAGCATTGCAGGGATTTTTGCAAGGTTGTGCGTTCACACAGCGCATCGTCCTACCAGAAAGCACTCCCTTAACTCTGAAAGCGGGCAATGCACCCACATTCGGCGTTTCAGCAAAGAAGGAAGAAGGCCTAGATCCTGTTGCTTGTCTGCTGGGGCAGAAAGGAGGGTGTGTCATGTGCCCAGCGCTAGCCAAGCACCATCGCATTCACTCCTTCATTCATTCCTCAAATATTTTATTATGCGCATATTCCGTGCCAAGCAGAGGTCCTTGAGCACGAGGTCATTCAGAACTCCCGTGGCTGCGCTCCGCAGGGCCCAGAACTTCAGATTTGCAGACTGAGGTCTTCCCACCCTTCCCTCCAGTGGAGCGCCGAGACAAAGAGAGGCGTCCCTGCCGCTCCCTGGGCTGAGGGTTCCGCCCGCCGCCCCGGGGGCTTCGGCGCGGCTGCTTCTCCACTCCCCAGCCCGAGGGGGCGCTGCAGCGCCGCGCGCTCCGCCCGCCCCTGCGCGGCGCTCCGCTCCACTCGGCGCTGCGGGCGGCCCCGCGGTGGTACGTTCCCCCTCGCCACCTCCCCCTCCTCCTCGGCCCTCCCCGCCGGTGGTAGGTGCCGGAAGTGCCGCCATTTTGGGGTGTTCTGCTCTGGCGGCAGCGGCGGCGGCGGCGGTGGGACGCGGAGGCTCCCCCGGGACTCGGCCTCAGCAGCGAGGCGGCGGCGGCGGCGGCTGCGGAGGCGCAGGCAGCAGCTGAGGCAGCGGCGGGCTCAGGTGCAGCCGCTGGTGAGTGCGGCGGCCGCGGGATAACGGGCCGCGGGCGGACGGGCGGGCGGGAGCGAGGGAGGGAAGGGAGGCAGGAGGGAGGCGCCGCGGGGCGGGTCCGGTCCGGGCGGCCGCGGGTCACAGGGCCCTCCGGGCGCGGCCGCTCCCCATTCCCCGCGCCCCCGGGGCAGCTCCGCGACCTCCTCCCTCGTGTCGGGGTCCCCCGCTCTCCGGGTCCCGCCGCGCTCGCCCGGCGCGTGCCCCCGCGCCCGGGGAGACCCGCCCTCCGCGTGGCCTTGCCCCCTCTGCCCGCGCCCTTTGCCTTCTGTCTCCGGGCTCAGAGGGCTTCGTTTCCTGCCCCGGGGTAGCTCCGTGCCAGACCCAGCCTGCCCTCCCCGGACACCCCTTCCCTGCTCCTATCGCCCCACGTGTTTCCAGCGCCCACCCCGGGGGGCGCCCAGGACCCCCGCTTCTGGAGGGCAGCGCTTCCCCGCGGGAGCCTCGAGAGCCCCCCGTCCCTCGCCCCAGATCCGCTCTGGCCTTGGCTCGCCCTCCCCCCGCATCAGGTGCTCACCCAGTCGTGGCCTAGTAGCTGGGCTGGAAACTCGCCCCGAGAGCACATTGACGAGCTCTCTTCGCAGGGGACCTGGCTTTGCCTTGAAAGCCGGTGGTTTCTCGGTTGTGGTCCTTGGGACAGGATGTTGTTTTAATTCTCTGAGATGATTGCACAGGCTCCAAGGAGCTTCTCGTTGGTTTAGGCTCATCCCCATAGTTGAGGGGAAGGTGGTGAGATTTAGGTCGGAGCCTGTTTAAGCAAAATGGAATCTTTTTTCTCATCAGCGGAGTTAATCCTGTGCTGTTACTACCCTGGAGTAGAAAGGCTGTCCAACAGTTTTAAGTAGCGAGACTGCTTCATAGTGTCTGCAGCGTAAAGAGGTTACAGATACCCGATGAGTCCTTTATAGGAGCTTCACCTTTTAAAGGTCTTTTCGCCGCCTTTGATTCTCTGGATTGGAGCGGCTTTCACTGCATTCTTTCCCCTTTTCCTCAAGTGTCGGGTGGGCTCTTTTTCCACCAGTGTGGCATCCCTCCGAGTGCTATGCAAGTTTGTTTCTCCTTAAATCTTTTGTGAGGGAGAAGGCGTCTCCACTTAGAATCACCCAGGGTTCTTTCTGTTTTAACATTAATGTGTCCCCTTGGAAGATCGTGGCGTTACCACGGCGTGCATCAAGTCTTGCTAGAGCTCCCCCCCCCCCCCACCCCATGCCGGGTTTTATGTTCTCCTGGCTTTACTTACGGTGTGTGGTTTCTGCTCCTGAGTTAGCCAGGACTGAAGCATTGCTGTTGGTAAAGCAAAGCTGGAGCTTTCAGCTGTTGCTTTAACCAGGGTTTATGGTTCCCCCAGTGGTTCTTTCCTCTCCACTGTCCACCACCTGTTTCCATTAAGAATGGCGCTTGGCCCAGAGCATCGGTCTCAACTTCTCTCCAACCATTCATTCTTGCCCATGGGGCTTTCTGCTCCTACGACAGTATCTAGACTTAAAACCCATTAGCAGGCGGGGCTGTTGGAGATAGACTTATCTTTTCCAGCCCCTTTTCTGGTGAGGAAAACTGAGGGCCCCCAGAGGTTAAGTGACTTACTTGCCCAAGGGTACATACCAAGTGCTCCTAAAGCAGTCTCAAAACAGACTTTTTTTTTTTTTTTTTTTAACAATTCTATGAACTCTATTGCAAAGTGCCCTTTAAGGGGTGAGGAAATGGAAAGAGCCCTAGGCTTGACGTTCAAAGGCCTGGATTGTAATCCTTGCTCTGTCGGTTACTAGCTATACTACGGTGGCCCGAGTCACTCAGCCGTTCTGAGCCTCAGTTCGTTCTCACCTGCGAAATGGAGGGAGTAGTGTCTGTCTTACATGGTGCTAATTCAGCTTCAGTGTAGTAACTTGTGACAATGCTGGTGGTGGAGGAGGCAGACAGTGAAATCTGGAGCCAGAAGGATGTTTATTTTCCTAAAGATTTCCACTTATTTTTCTTGTTACAGAAGTTACAGATTCATTATAAAAAATACAGATAAACCAGAAAGGAGGAAACTCACCCTCAGTCCCACCACTCAGAGGTGATTGTTAATCTTTGATCTTTATCATCCTTTTTATATGCTACAGAAATGTTTATTATTTTGTTATGTTTTTAAGATTTAATGATATATAGTAGGCACAGTTTAAAGACCACGTTTTAAATGGTGCCGTATCTTTTATTTTTTTTTGAGGAAGATTAGCCCTGAGTTAACTATTGCCAATCTTCCTCTTTTGCTGAGGAAGACTGGCCCTGAACTGACATCCATCCCCATCTTCCTCTACTTTATATATAGGACGCCTACCACAGCATGGCTTTTGCCAAGCAGTGGCATGTCCGCACCTGGGGTCCTAACTGGCAAACCCCGGGCCACCGAGAAGCAGAACACGTGCTGCGCCACCGGCCGGCCCTGGTGCCATATTTTTAATAGCTCCAGCACATATGAAGTAGGCCAGTGGATATCCAAGCACGGGAGCAGAGAAGTTGCCCTTTTAAATTTATGCTGGGCTGCAAGAAGAGGAGGAAAGAAAGGGCAGAGATCTAATGTTTATTGTGTGTCTACTGTGGTATTTTCTTTAAAAGAGGTTTGGGCTCTGCTACTAAATGTAGAGCGTGAGTCCTGAATTCCATGTCCCTTCCTGTGACTACCACTGCAGCTTCTTTAACTTAATTTTCCTGTGAGGCTGGACGTAATAAGGAAGTGGGAGGTTAGAAGGTGGTGGGGCCTTGGAAAGGGAAAGAGAAGAGCTGTCACCTGAAGGCCAGGGTGAAGAAGTTGGAGGAAGTAGGAGCCTAGACTCCTCTGCTCAAGGCTTTGGGTACTTCCAGCAAATTGCTCTGTTTTCTTTGAACCTGTGAATGATAGGATTTGTTAAGCTGTTTCCTCTGCCTTTTTTTTTTCTTTAACAGCTTCATTGAGATTAATTCACATGCTATACTAGTCATTGGTTTTTGGTGTATTAGGTTATTAATTTAAAAAATTGTTAAATATATGTTAGAAAATTTGCCATTTTAACCAATTTTTTAATATTTACATTTTTTTAACGTGGTGAAAACACAACATAAAGTTTACCATCTTAACTATTTTTGGGGTGTGCAGTTCTGTAGCATTAAGTGCATTCCCATTATTGGGAAACAGATCTCCAGAACTTTTTCATCTTGCAAATCTGAAACTTTATACATTAAACAACTCCTCTTTTCTCCCCATCCTAGCTTCTGGTAACCACCATTCTGCCTTCTGTTTCTGTGAATTTGGCTACTTTCAGATACCTCATATAAGTGGAGTTAGACAGTATTTGGCTTTTTGTGACTGGCTTATTTCACTTACCATAATATCTTTAAGGTTCATCCATGTTGTAGCATGTGACTGGATTTCCTGTTTTTAAAGGCGGAGTTATATTCTGTTGTGTGTGTCTACCACGTTTTGTTTATCCGTTCATCTGTTGACGGACATGAGTTGTTTCTACCTTTTGGCCATTGTGATTAGTGCTGCTATGAACATGGGTGTGCAGATATCTCTTTGAGAACCTTCTTTCAGTTCTTTTCCATAACACACAGAAATGGGATTGCTGGATTATATGGTAGTTCTCGTTTTAATTTTTTGAGAAACCTCCATACTGTTTTCCGTAGTGGTTATACCAGTTTACAGACCCACCAATAGTGCTCAAGAGTTCCAGTCTCCACATCCTCACCAACATTCGTTATTTTCTTTTTTTTTCCTCCAATTTAAATAGTAGCTATCCTAATGGGTGTGAGGTGCTATCTCATTGTGATTTTGATGTGCATTTCTCTGATTAATGATGTTGAACCTCTTTTCATATGCTTGGCCATTTGTATATTATATTTGCAGAAATGTCTATTCGAGTCCTTTGCCCATTTTTTAAATCAGTTTATTAGACTTTTTTGTTGAGTTATATAGTTCTTTATATATTCTCAATGTTAAGCCTTTATCAGATATATGATTTGGAGATACTTTCTCCCTTGCCTTTTCACTCTGTTGATTGTGTCCTTTGATAACACAGAAGTTTTCAAGTTTGATGTAGTCCTGTTTGTCTGTTTTTGCTTTCATTGTTTGTGCTTTTGGTGTCTTATCCAAGAAATCACTGCCAAGTCCAGTGCCATGAAGCTTATGCCCTATGTTTTCTTCTAGGAGTTTTATAGTTTTAGGTTTAGGTCATTTTAACCATTTTTAAGAGTATAATTCATTGACTATTAAGTACATTCACAGTGTTGTGCAATCATCACCACTATTTATTTCCATAATGTTTTCTTCACCTGAAACAGAAACTCGAACCATTAAGCAATAGCTCCCCATTCTCCCTCCTCTCAGCCACTAATAACCTCTAGTCTACTTTCTGTCTCTGTGATTTTGCCTATTCTGGATAGTTGATATAACTGGAATCATGCAATATTTGCCCTTTTGTGTCTGTCTTCTTTCACTTAGCATGATGTTTTCAAGATTCATCCATGTTGTTGGATATATCAGGATTTCATTCCTTTTTGAGGCGGAATTCCTCTGTTTTTTTGAGGCCAGGGATGTCTTTTTCATCTTGATATCTTGCCCTTTCTTGGAACTCCACAAAGGATGTTGAATTGATTAGAATTCATGCTTTTCATGTGGATTGCCAATCACAGAGGTATGTCCGCTGATATGCTCAAATCTCTTGAAAATTCCAACATATCAGTGGGCATAAAAGTGTATAGCAGTAATCCAAATAACAGTTAATAGCATCGTTTCTAATTTCTAATCTGATTATATTTTCCAATCTTTGAAGGTACAGCATTTTCAAAACATGGTTTGTATATGGAAAAAGTGTCACATGAGGAGAATGAGAATAGGCAAATTTCCGCTTTGCTTTATAACTGACTATAATATATGAGTGGTTTTTGTTAGAGAAGGTAGACTGATCTCCAGGTATTCCATATTGTGTAGAGAGAAGTTTATAAACCTGGTATTTCATGGCCTGGTTAGAATAAATGATACTTTCAGGGTAAGAGCATTTCGAAGGTAATCATAGGCCTCCCAGTTTGTTTCAGTATGAACAAAGCTATTCAGATTATTCTCATGCATGAAAGGCTTTCTTCTTAAGAGGAGCTGCTGCTCCCTTTTTTGGAGGTTCATAACTGCTTTTGATCTGCTTGATTGTCTCGTTTTCCTCTTCTTCCTTTTTGGACATAGTCTCCCACTCCATTTTCCTTCTCTCTAGTAATAAAGGGCATTTGGTATTAATCCTTGGGGCATGGGATGAACTGGAAGTTTTATTCAGCCAACCCTGTTGTCCCAAAGAGGTATTACAGCCCTCACAGTCCTTAACACGTGGGACTTTATGTTAGTGTCAGGGAGGAGAGATATATACCTTTTTTTCCAAAAAACATGAACCATTCTTTTGTTCAGAACTATTCCTTGATTCTTGATTATTTTTGATAATAGAAATAGAATGTATCATGGAAGTTGAAGTATTTCAGAAATATAGTTTGAACCAGAAATTGACTTTCTATGTAGCCTTTTTGAGTGGAATTTCTAACAAATGTCAGAGTTGATTGCTATTAATATAATTGTGTATTTACCTGCGCACTCCTTCCTTAGAGGTACTGTGGCATGATGAAATGGTCAAAGGGCAAGTAAAATACAAACAAGAAATTTTTAGCAAAACCTGGAGAATTAGT